ACTGGCTGGTAGGTATGCCGCACATTGACCACCAGGGGGCAGACGCTCAATGCAAGAGCTCCCAAGCTGGGGTGACTTGGCAGCAGTGGTTCTCTGGTGACGCACCCCGGAACCAGAGAGGAGGGAGCCCGATTCCTTGCGGGGCCATGCAATTCCACCTTCGGCCGTGGATTATGTTGTTGCTGGGGTGCTGTCACCCTGAATCTGGTTTACTGATGAGCTGCAGTGACTGCAGATACCCACTGAGCCCCAGTGCTACCCCAAGGTGCTGCTGGCCAGGGAGAAACTGTGGGAGGTTGGCTTCAGGCCGTGTTTGGCCCATCTTGCTCAGTCCTGCCCTGCCAGCCACCTTCTAATTCATTTCCTTTTAATGTGCACGAATCTGTGCACTGGGCCACTAGTATAGGATAATTGACATATAACTTCGTGTTAAAGTGTACCATATAATGATTTGATATGTATGTGTCTCTTGTAAGATAGACTGAGGACTTCCCACTTTGTTTTTGAAGAACAGCTACATTGAATTTTGAAGAGGTCTGATATAAATAAACATCTTTGGAGTTAGTGTCAGTAAGACAAAGATTGAGTTCACTGTTTAGCATAGCAAATCTGAGGATTCATTTAATTTTTTTAAAAATTACAACTTGAGAGAAATTAGACTTTTGCATAAAAGGGGAAATTGTTTTTGGAGGAGAATATTTAAATAATCTAAGTATAAATTCTTTCAAAAATTGATAAATTATGCAGTTTTAAAGAAAATACAGAATTTGGTTTAGAACTTGATAAGTCTTTAAAAATTCATTGGGAGGAATAAACAGGTGAGATTATTATTATTTTTAAATATTTTTTATAGATTTCAGAGAGGAAGGGGGAAAGAGAGAGAGAGAGAGAAGCATCAATGATGAGAGAGAATTATTGATTGGCTGCCTCCTGCACGCCCCACACTGGGAAGTGAGCCTGCAACCTGGGCATGTGCCTTGACCGGGAATCGAACCTTGACCTCCTGGTTCATAGCTCAATGCTCAACCCCTGAGCCACGCTGGTCAGGCAACAGGTGAGATTATTGAAGACAAATCTGAAAAGCAAGTATAAACTTCCAGTAATTAAATCTTTATGATAACTGGCACAAGAGTTCATAAAAATCAGTGGAAAAACTGTTTCATGTAGAGCCAATTATATTTAGGAAATAAATGTATTATAATGGAAGTTTCATAGACCACTTGAGAGAGGGAGGATTAGTTAGTAAATGGTACTAGAATATCTGCTTTGTGGTTTAATTTTAAAAAAAAATCAGCCCTAGCGAGTTAGAGCTCAGCCAGCAGACTGAAGGGTTGTCATGGGTTCAGTTCCCGTCAAGGACACTTACTTTGGTTGTAGGCTTGATCCCTGGCCCTAGTCCGGGCGCCTTCATGAGGCAACCATAAAAATCTCTCTCTCTCACATAAGTGTTTATCTTCTCTCTGTCTCTCCCCTTCCCTTCAACTCTCTCTAAATAAATGGAAAAAATATCCTCGAGTGAGGTTTTTTTTTTAAGTGCTGTTTAGCAGAGCTTATAGCACCTAACATTAGATATTTTAGTTTTCATTAATGTATAGTTACATTTTGTTTTATTTCAGCTTTTTATGACTTCCTAAAATTCTTTTACTTTTCAAGGAAAGCAAGTCTTGCTCTGATTCGAAAAATGATTCACTTTTGCTCTGAAGCATTGTTAAAAGAAGTTTGTGATTCTGATGTTGGTCACAATTTGCCTACAATACTCGTGGAAATCACTGCAACTGTTCTTGATCAAGAGGTCAGTATTTTTTAAATTTTTATTGAAACTCCTGTAGAATCCCTTGAGGTAATGGTCAATAAAATAATTTAAGTTTTGTCCTAATTCAATAAATCATTTTGTGCAAATTATTGCCTTTGTTTACTTCAAAAAAACTGAACTTGTTTTATAATTTTTTCTTAATTTTTTTCTCTCCCCCCAGGATGATGATGATGGCCACTTGTTGGCTTTGCAGATCATTAGGGATTTAGTAGATAAAGGTGGTGATATTTTTTTGGATCAGCTAGCCAGACTTGGTGTAATTAGCAAAGTGTCAACTTTGGCAGGACCTTCCTCAGATGATGAGAATGAAGAGGAATCAAAACCAGAAAAAGTGAGTGGTCTTAATTGCAGTGGTATCAGGAATAGTTTAGTGGGTTTTGACAAAATAATGACAATATGTATTAGTACTATATTTTTAAAAACTTGCTCAATTTAAAAATGTTTTTTTTTACAGTGGGTTTTGACAAAATAATGGCAGTACAAAGTAGTACTATATATTTAAAAATTGGCTCAATTAAAATATAGTGGTAATATTTAAAACTTAGAGAACTAAGTTGCAAATAAAGAATATCAGAATATCTTCTATCCAAATTCACTGATTTTTGACATTTTGTGCATTTGCTTTATCATTTACACAGACATATCATTTATTTGACAGAGGCCCTTTTTATACCTAGAAGCTTTTTTAAAAAATATATTTTTAAAAATATATTTTATTGATTTTTTTTTTTTTTTACAGAGAGGAAGGGAGTGGGATAGAGAGCTAGAAACATCAGTGTCACCAAGCCAAACTAGTTAGGTCCACCTAGAAGATTTTTACATGTAGAAACTTCATGTACAAAACCAGAACATTTTCTTATACATTGCTAGTATAGTTATCAAAAACTAAAATTTATAATACCTAGCTAATCCAGAGATAATATTCAAATTTGCTATTGTCCTTAATAGCATTTTTTCCCCTTTCTGGTCTAGAATCCAATCTAGGAAAACATAATCACATTTAGTTATCATATTCCTGAGAATCTGCAACAGTTTCTCAGCTTTCCTTTTTCTTTCAGAGCCTTGGCATTTTTGAAGAGGACAGGTCACTAGTTTGGACAGTGGCCCTCATTTTGCATATGTGCCATGTGTCTTCATGATTAGATTCAGGTTATGTGCTTTTAGCAGGCAGACTATAAGAGTTGTTGCTTCTTCTCAGTGCATAGTGTGCTTTCTCAGAGGCCCATGATGTCCTGTTGCTCTCTTGCTGATGATGTTAACTTGGGTCACTTGTTTTATCTTGGCCTCTGCCAGGTTTCTCTGTTATAGTCATTTTTCTTTCTTTTGTAATTAATAAATAATTTGTGGGGAGGTAATTTGAAACTATGTAAATATGCTATCCTTTAATTACTAGTTTCAGTATTCATTGATAATTCTTACCTTAGATTACAAATTTAAAATTTACCTTATCTATCTTTACTGATTACCAACAGTGATTTAGTACTAACATTTAGTGGTGAATGCTTACTCTATATTACTGACAGAGTAATGATATTTTTGAGAGGATGTTGAGTTATAGTTGTAATTATAGAATCTTGAGGAGAGAAAGAAAATGAGGGAGAGGGAGGAGGGGAGAGGAAGAGAGAAAGAGAGGAAGAGATTGATTTTGTGTGTTTACTAAATTTAACAAAAAACAAACACTAAGCAAATAAAATAATGTCTGGGTTCATCGCCCCTGAAATTCTTGCATTCAAAATATAGGTTATACATATTAGTAGTCTTTTTGTAGAAATTAACAAGCAGATTTTAACACATGGAGATGCAAGGTTCTTAGTATAGCCAGAGTGACCTTGAAAAGTAACAAAAGTTGAAGGACATACATTAGCAGATTTCAAGTCTTATTATAAAGCCATTGTAGTCAAGAAAGTGTGGTAGTGGTGTAAGATAGATTAATGACCCACATACTCTCTATCAGTGGTTATCAACCTTCCTAATGCTGCAACTTTTTAATATAGTTCCTCATGTTGTGGTGACCCCCAGCCATAAAATCATTTTCATTGCTACTTCGTAACTGTAATTTTGCTACTGTTATGAATCCTAATGTAAATATCTGATATGCAGGATGTATTTTCATTGTTACAAATTGAACATAATTAAAGCATAGTTATTAATCACAAAAACAATATGTAATTATATATGTGTTTTCCAATGATCTTAGGCGACCCCTTTGAAAGGGTTGTTCAACCCCCAAAGGGGTCGCAACCCACGGGTTGAGAACCACTGCTCTATATGGTCAATTGATTTTCAGCCAAAGTGCTAAGGCAATTCAATCAGGAAAGGACGGTCTTTTAAAAAAATAATTCTTGAATGGGGGTTGGGTGAAATAGGTGAATAGATTAAGAAAAAAAAAAGTCAAATATCCCCAAACAAAAAAGGGAAAGTGGGGTGGGGGTAGGTAGAAGAGGGTAAAGGGTAAGAGTGGGGGTGGGATAAATGGTGATGGAAGGAGACTTAACTTTGGGTGGTGAACACACAGTATTGTATACAGATGATATAGAATTGTACACTTGAAACCTGTATAATTTTATTAACCAATGTCACTTTAATACATTCAGTAAAAATTTTAAAAGATTTACAAGTAGATAATATATACAGAAAAAATGAAATCTTGATCCTTGTCATATATACCATATACAAAAAAGAAAAGAAAATAAATCATAGACTAAAATGTATGAAGTCCTATATAATAAATAGGTGATATGCATATTGACCCTCACGCCATAACGCTGTCATAAGATGGTGGCGCCCTCAGCGAGGGTGGGGCCAACGGCTGCTCCGCATGACTTCTGTTGGGGTTCCTTCAGCCCTGTGGGGGTGTGGGGGTCCCGGTGGCTGCTCTGCATGGCTTCTGCCAGGGTTTCTGCGGCCCTGTATGTGACACTGCGAGGGTCCCAGTGGCCGCTTCACGTGACTTCTGCCAGGGTTTCTGAGGGCCCACTTGCGTGCCGTGGGGGCGGGGCCCAGCGGCCACTGCGCGCGGCCCTGAGGTGGGGCATTGGGGTGGCACTCCAGGACCCGGAGTGGTCCGGTGGTGCGCCGGCTACGTGGGGTGAGACTCTGGGACTCGGGGTGGTCACAGGGGGCAGGGGGTTCTGGGTCTCGGTGTAATTTCGTGCGACAGGTCATTAGTAAAATCATAAAACCTCTAGAGGAAAAAGAAGAAAATCTTAGTAACCTTGAGCTTGACAAAGATTTCTTAAATAGGACATTTTAAAAGGTTAGACTATAACCCTGGCCGGTGTGGCTCAGTAGGTTGGGTATCGTCCTCTGCACCGAAAGGTTGCCAGTTCGATTCCTGGTTGGTACATGCACGGGTTGCGGGCTCAGCCCCCGGTAAGGGGAATGCAAGAAGCAGCTGATCAGTGGTTTACTCTCAGGTGTTTCTCTCTCAAAATCAATAAAAAAACTTTTTTTAAAAGGGTTAAACTATAAAGAACAAAAAGTCAATAAATTGCATTTTACCAGAATTAAACTTTTGCTCTTCAAAACACATTGTTTAGAAAAGCAAAAGCATATCAGAAAATTCTGATTTTTTTTGTCTGAAAATATTTTAATTTGGCATTCATTTTGATGAGTGTTTTCAGTGTCAGAAGGACTCTTGGGTTATCATTTTCCAGAACATTAAGAGATTTTCCATTGTCACCTGATGTGCATAGTCCCTACTGAAAAGTTTGCTTTAATTTTCATTTTAGTTCCTTTGTATATATATGACTTATTTTTTTATACTGTGGCTTTAAAAAAGAATTTATCATTGTTATTTTAGCAGTTTGAGTTTTATATACCTTTGTTGTGTTTGGTGTGGATATATATGCACGTTGATGTGGGTGTCCCATTTCTGTTGAGGATTGTTAGGTTTTCTTTAATCTGTGGGGTTAAGGTTTTTGTCACATTTAGAAACTTTTCAGCTGTTAGTTCAAGGATTTTCTACCCTGGCTGTTTGGAATGCCAGTATCTGACTACCTTCTGTGATCTCTGGGAACTGTTCAGCTTACACTTTTTAATCCTACTTTGCTCAACCCTATATGCGAGTGGTCTGTTACTCAGTAGATACTTATGGTGACTACTTTGCAGATTTCTAGTAGTCTGTTTTGTTTGACTCCCTCATCCTAAACTTAGTCTTCACATATTCTATTTGCCTTAACCTCTTCAAACACAGGTCTCCATTTCCTCAACTTACTGCTGAATCGTGTGTTCCCTCTTCTTAATACCTTAGCCAGAAAATTGTGTCTGGACTTAAGGAATTTACTTTGTTTCAGTTTTCTGGAGAATCACAGTCCTGTGTTATTCCATGTTGGAAAGCATTTTCATATATTTTGTTTATTTTTTGTTTGCAGTGTATTGACAAATCATGTTCCTTCTTAATCTATGATGGCCTGGGGTATAACTACTTATGTGTAGAGGAATTATCTATATTTTACAATCTTATTTTAGTGTTATAAGCTACTTTAGGGGGGAAAACAAAATATTTTTTTAAAAAGGTAACTCTGTATAAAATTTAAAAGTATTTTTTCCCACATATACATGGATACACACATGTCAAATTCATATATGGTTATGATGAATAGTCTCAATCTTTAAGTATCAATAAAATAAAAGTTTTTTAGGATACCAGGGAAGGCAAACAGTATTTATAAGGTGTGTGTGTGTTTGTTTTTTTTTAACATGCTCTAATTAAAAGATTTTTTATGATCACAGGAAAAATTCAGTAAATTTGATTCACTTGGCTAAAAGTGATCCTACAATTATTCTTAGGAGCTTCTCTGGTGATTCTGCTAGGTTTGGATACCATTCACCTAGTTTATTTTTTTTTTATTTATTTATTTTTTTAAATACATATTTTATTGATATTTTACAGAGAGGAAGGGAGAGGGATAGAGAGTTAGAAACATCGATCAGCTGCTTCCTGCACACCCCCTACTGGGGATGTGCCCGCAACCAAGGTACATGCCCTTGACCGGAATCGAACCTGGGACCCTTGAGTCCGCAGGCGGACGCTCTATCCACTGAGCCAGACCAGTCAGGGCCCATTCACCTAGTTTAAACATCTATATGTTTTGTTTTTATTTTTTTTACAAATAATCAATTAGGCCCAGAGATGTCGGCTAGACCAATGGTCGCCAACTGGTGGTCCATGAAGTCCGAAAGATTGGCGACCGCTGGGCTAGACCTAATCTATTGGTCTTCTTTACCAGTACACGTAGAAGTGTTGTAACATAGGTCATTATTAATATAAATTACTTAACATTTTTAGGACTTACTTATATGATTATAGGTAATTAGTTGAATCAGAATACAGGCAACTGAATATTTTCAGATTTAACAAATTTTTTTTTATTGGTTTTTAGAAGAGGAAGGGAAAGATAGAATCATTAATGAGAGAAACATCGATTGGCTGTCTCTTGTGTGCCCCCTTCTGGGCTAGAGCCCACAACCCAGGCATGTGCCCTGACAGTTAGTTGAACTGGTGACCTCTTGGTGCACCACAGAGCCACACCAGCCAGGCTGATTTTTTTGTTGTTGTTATTCTTATTTTTTTTAATCCTCACCCGAGGATATGTTTTACTGATTTTAGAGCGGGGCGGGAGGTGGGGGGGTGGGGGAGAGAAACATTGATTGACTGCCTTCCCGTATGCTCCCCAAACCGGGATGGAATCTGCAACCTGGGTATGTACCGTGACTCGGAATAAAACCTACAACCTTTCAGTGCATGTGATACTGCTCCAACCAACTGAGCCACACCAGGCAGGGCTCTTGAGGATGTCTTTATTTTAAATTTGATTCATGTTTTTGTTTTAAAAACACTTAATGAATATTTGGAATAGAAATTATTTTTCACGGTTCTTTGAAAATTTTACACATTCAGGAAGATGAACCACAGGAAGATGCTAAAGAATTACAGCAAGGTAAACCATATCATTGGAGAGACTGGTCAATCATTAGGGGAAGAGACTGCTTGTATATATGGAGTGATGCAGCAGCCTTGGAATTGTCTAATGGCAGTAATGGATGGTTCAGATTTATCTTGGATGGAAAACTTGCTACTATGTATTCAAGTGGTAGTCCTGAAGGTGGATCGGATAGTTCAGGTAATATTTTCTTTCTATTAAAGTGTTTTACTAGTTTGTGCAATTAAAAAAAAACACGTTTTATTGATTTCAGAGAGTGGAAGGGAGAGGCATAGAGGGATAGAAACATCAATGGTGAGAGAGAATCATTGATCTGCTGCCTCCTGCACACCCCACACGGGGAATCGAGCCCACAACTGGGGCATGTGCCCTGACCAGAATTGAACTGCAACTTCCTGGTTCATGGGTTGACACTCAACCACTGAGCCACACTAACCAGGCTAGTTTCTGTAATTTTGATCATTTGTTTTTCTGCTTATATTTTTGCTGCCATTGTCAAAAAAATAGCACATCCTTAATGACAGTATAGTCAGTTTCTTTAATATCAACAGAAAAATTGTATCATGAAAACATTTCATACTCTTTTATTGTACAAGAAAGAATAGTATATCTACTTTTAATCTCTCCGGTCTTTTAGGTAAAGCTGCCTTTTGTCTCGTAATGATGAATTGCAGTTGTATGATGCTATCTCAAGTTATAACTTTTCCCAAAAGCCTTAAACTTTAAAAAATTGTGGCTGTAGGATTGCTTTTATGCCTGAGCCTCTATTTACCAAAGAACCAAACTCTGCTAATTAAGTTTTTCAAAATAAGATTGTTATTCCAATGAATAGTTTTTATGAAAAAAACGAATATTTGAAAGAAGTAAGGTTTTAAAACACTCATTTTGTCTTTATAGAAAGCAGAAGTGAATTCTTAGAGAAGTTACAAAGAGCTCGAGGCCAAGTAAAGCCATCTACTTCAAGTCAACCTATACTCTCAACACCAGGACCCACTAAACTCACTGTAGGGAATTGGTCACTAACATGTTTGAAAGAAGGAGAAATTGCTATTCATAACTCAGATGGGCAGCAAGCAACAATATTGAAAGAAGATTTACCTGGTTTTGTTTTTGAATCTAATAGAGGAACCAAACATTCATTTACTGCAGAAACTTCTCTGGGTAAGTATGTAGGTGTGTAAGTTTAGCAGATTAAGAATAAATGAGTATGTTAAATGGCAATAAAAAATGTCTTGTGAAATGTTTTTTTTTTTTTTTTTAAGGTTCAGAATTTGTGACTGGCTGGACTGGCAAAAGAGGCAGAAAACTGAAGTCTAAATTAGAAAAAACAAAACAAAAGGTATATTTGTGGGATTTGCTGTTTTAAAAAAAATTCTTTTATACTGACATGGTAAGGTTTCAATGGTAGATTTTAAGCATTTAAAAAATTGAGCCATATAACAGTGCTACCTACTCTAATCTCAAGAGGTATGGGGCATGCTGAGCCCAGGTGCTGTTTGAGAGATTTTAGGAAAGTCTAAAGCCTGATCCAGGACAGACCATTGCTATGGTAAAGCCACTGCAAACAGCTTGGACGGGCTTGTTTTCCACAGTGGCTGCACCAGTCTTCATTCCCACCAACAGTGCGTAGTGTTCCCTTTTCTGCATATCCTTGTCATTACTTGTTGCATATATTTTTAAAGAGTGTTATGAAATGAATTTCAACAGACCCAGGCCTGGGACATGTATGGGTTTTTCTCAAATAAAATTAATTTCATTTAAATGAAAGCTAATTAGTACCAGAGCCAATAATATAGTCATTCCTTCTCATGATGAAATGTGTAAATATATGAGCATGATATAGATAGTACTTTGTGTTAATAATATACATAGAAAATACACATACCATGTAACCTAAAGTATACTCCAGAACGTTAAAAGTTTCAATTTTGGTTGATGGTGACTTAATTTTTATTTTTTGCTTACTGTATTTTCTAAATCAGGGGTCCTCAAATTACGGTCTGCGGGCCACATGCAAATACAAATATTGTATTTGTTCCCATTTTGTTTTTTTACTTCAAAATAAGATATGTGCAGTGTGCATAGGAATTTGTTCATAGTTTTTTTTTTAAACTATAGTCCAGCCCTCCAACGGTCTGAGTGACAGTGAACTGGCCACCTGTTTAAAAAGTTTGAGGACCCCTGTTCTAAATGGTTGATTATAAGCATTTACTTTTTCCCCCCTTTTATTGAATTTATTGTGGTGACACTGGTTAGCAAAATTATACAGATTTCAGGTGCACAGTTCCACAACACATCATCTGCATATTGTATTGTGTGTTCACCACCCCAAGTCAAGTCTTTCCTTCTATCACCAATTACCCCCCTACACCAGGGGTCCTCAAAATTTT